ACATTGAGGACCTGTCTATGTCAGGATGATCAACACACCAGAAGCCAGGAGCACCCGCAGAAAGAAGTGAGTGGTTGGGACGCAAATCTCAGCTCCCTGCTCACAGGCAGAAGAGAAATTTCCTCCAGCCCAGCTCCCTTTAAGCCAGTCAACTCAGTGCGGGGAGTTGTATACCAACTTTAATTGTACTAGTGTTAATTACTGTTTCTGATAATCACTATAAAAATTTCCCTTTAAAGTCACCTGTGTCATGTGTCACAACAGCACTAGCAAATGGAGACACCATGCATATAGCCAATCCCTTCATCACAGGGATGGGCAGAAGCGTGGGCATGTGCCCCAAGCTGTGTCCACTGGAGTTGCTGACTCAAAGGGCGGGGTGCCGAGAAGCCTTTCACACCCTTAAGTGACAGGGTGGGATGGAAGCTTGACACCCGCCTCCTCCCTCCACACAGAAGGAAAGAATGAGGCCGGAGTCAGATGGTAAAGAGCTAGTTGTGTGACTGGGTGTGTGTGAGAGAGACAGTCCCCAGGCCCGTTCCACCTGGTTGTCTAAGAGTCAGATGCTGAAGGTCTCTAGTCCTGTGACTCTGTTTGTGTGTGTGCCCCTGTGCCCATTCCCCCTGGCGCTCCGTCCTGGAGTCCTGACAGGTGCAGGCCTCACGCTGACTCGGCTGTGGAATCATGAGCTGCAGTATGACAGGCATGCGGAAGAGGCCGCAGAGAAAGCAGCCAAGGCTCGGGTGGGGACGTGTATCAGGCTTTAGTTACTGCTGGGATGAAAGGGGGCTGTGCGAACACGGGAGAGCAGAGAGCACTCCACGGGGACACGGGAAATCAGGAAGTAGGTCTGATTGGTAAACTCAGGCCAAGTGGTGAGAGAAACCTCATTCCAGCTGGGGTGGCCGTGGAGTGGACTTCAGAAGCTGTTCCTGTCTTAATCCCTGGGACACTGACTATGCTGTAAGTGATAAAGGAGAATTTAAGTAAGATAAGCCTAGATTCTTTGGGTGGTCTTTAAAAGTGGAGCAGGAGGCAGAAAGGGAAGCAGAGCAATGCATTGTGGGTCCCACCCACCTGTGCCACATGGGAGAACTGGGCAGGAGCCCAGAATGTGGCCACCTCTGGAGGATGGAAGAGAAGAAAACAGACCCCACCCCAAGCCTTCAAAGGGAACGAAGCCTGTAGATACTCTGCTACCATGAGGTCCATGTGAGCCTTCCAGCCTGTAGGTGAAGGTAATTTATCCCAATAGAAAGCGAGTATTACAAAGACTGGGGAAAAAATATTTGGTAATGACATGTCTGATAAGGGACTGATACTCAGAATTTATAGAATACTCAAATGTCACAGCAAGATAAAGGTAAACAACCCAATTACAAAATGGGCACAGGATATGTACAAAGAAAACATTCAGATGGTAAACAAATGCATGAAGAAATGTTCAAATCCCTAACTCAAAGAGAGATGCAAATCAAAACAACTATGAGATATGCTCTCAGCCCAGGAAGAATGGCAAAATTCAACAGAGCAGTAAACAACAAATGCTGGTGAGATTGTGGAGAAACTGGACCCCTTATTCACTGGGTGGGAGTGTAAAATGTTGCAACCACTATAGAAGGTAGTATGGCACTTTCTCAAAAAGTTGGAAATAGAAAATACCATTTGACCCAGTAATTCCGCTAGGAATAATACCCTAAAGAAACCACAACTGCCACCCAAACAGATAAATGTACACCCATGTTAACTGCAGCTTTGTTCACAATAGCAAAGAGTTGGAAACAACCCAAGTGCCCATCCATAAACAGGTTTTGGTATATTCACACAATATAATGCTGCATTAAAAACAAGGAACTCACGAATTATACAAAATGGGTGACTGTGGATGACATTAGGCTGAGTGAAATATCTCAGTTATAAAAAGACAAATATTGCATAATGCCACTGTTATAAAACAGAACTGATACAGGGGTTGGGAGAAAACCAACAGAAGAGGGGATAAATAATGTACACAGCATTGAAACAGATGAGGGAGAGAACGATATAAAAGGAACATAAGATTAGGTATTATTGGCATGACAAGAGTCCAGAGTAAGAGCTGCATAATAAAGTGGTTGGGTGGAGGGAATGGTGGGGGAGGTCTGTATAATAATGAAAGAACTTTTTTCCCAAAGAAAAAAGTAAACTGGGGTGGGGGGTGGGGAGCAGAGGAAAATGTTCAACAATGAATGAACGGAAATCCAAGTTCTTTATATACTTTCATTAAAATATTAAAAACTAACTATCAAACTGATAACATCAAGTTATCAAGAAAGGGATTATGTTGTCAAAATACACCCATGTTTATCGCAGCTTTGTTCACAACAGCAAAGAGCTGGAAACAACCTAAGTGCCCATCAACAAAGGAATGGATAGAGAAGCTCTGGTATATTTACACAATGGGATACTATGCTGCATTGAAAAACAAGGAACTCATGAAATATTATACAAAATGGATGACCCTGGAGGACATTACGCTGAGTGAAATATCTCGGTTACAAAGGGACAAATACTGCACGGTGCCACTGTTGTAAAACAGGACTGACATCAGGGTTGGGGTGAGACTGAGAAAGAGTGGATAAGTTATGTATACTGCATTGGAACAGATGAGGGAGAGAACAGTTTAAAAGCGATATATGATTGGGTATTATGGTCATGACAAGAGTCCAGAATGAAGGCTGCCTAATAGAGTGTACTCGGGGGTGGGGGTGAGTGCATAACAATGAAAGAATTTTTCTTTTACTTTTCAAAGATAAGAGCAGACGAGGGTAGGGGTGGGCAGGGAAAAAAATGCAATAATGTATGAATGAATATCCAAAGTCTCTAAAAATGCATTAAAATGAATAAAAAATGCATTGATAATTACAAAAACATAAGGTGTAAAACAAATGTTAAAACTATTCCTTATAAATGTTAAAAAAATAGCTAGTTAAAAATCTTATTTTCTAAAAAAAGTGAACATTCTGGGTTTCATCTTTATTCTCAGGTAGTAAGGACGACTTTGCACAGAATTCAAACACTTGTTTAATATTTACCATGTCGGGGACAGGAGTAGAATGGTGAGCAAATCAGACATGGCCCACCTGCCTTATGTGGATGACAGCCTTGCTTGTAGACATGGAAAACTTGGAGCACTTACTACAGATCAAAGACTCCAGCCTCCAGTATGGATTACCCCTCCGCATCAAGGAAACACATTCCTCACCACTGACATGACAGAAGGAAGAAAGGACCAGATGGTCATCGATTTAGTTTACTGGAATCCACAACCAGCTCCCATGGCAGCAGCAATCAAGAAGTCAGAAGCCGTGGGGCACTGGGCACACCTGCTGTCTGGGATTTCTTCAGAGTTCTCAAGAGCCACACTGGCGGTTTTCAGGAAATGCTTGCCAATGAATGAGACTGAAGAGAAAAACGCAAGGCAGCCTGACTGAGTGGATTTCAAGGCTAACGTACAAACAGAAAACCAACATGACTTTCAAGTCTCCAGGGAGGTCTATTCTGTCACTTAATCAAACAGGTGCTTCAAGGTGACAGTGAGTTGCATTTTGGAAGTTCAATCACTGATTGACTGCAATAATATTTACTAAACATGTAGTATATGTGAGGCAATTGACAGGAACTGAGAATAGAGCAAAGAAAGGGATCAGTTTCTGTTCTTGGGGAGTTTACACACTAATGCAATTCTAACTTAAATGACACATGTAAGGAGATGTGCTGTCAACCCAAAGGCAGATAGTTCGAATATACCTGCTGCTCCACCAGGGAAGAGATTGGCAATCTCCTCCCGTGTGATTTACAGCCTCTGGAAAGCCACCGAGGGCCAGCTAGGATGGATTCTGACTTGGAAGCACAGAAGA